ATAGAAAGGGGTTTAGTTATAGTAATAAATATTTTTAAAAAAAAGAGGTAAATAAGTAACACGAATTTTATGTTAGGCGAAAAAGACAGTATTTGTTGGATTTTGTATTGGTAGATAAAAAACTGTTGAGTAGATTCAGGATGTACATGTTTATAGAGGGGCCACAGATATTCAGATCATTTCTAGTTGTAGCTACACTGAAGTAAAAAGTAGATGGGAAAAAGGAGAAAAAAGATCAGGGAAAAGAGGGTGAAAATTTTAATAAAAGAGGAGGCAGTTAGGGGAAATATAAACACTATTGGAGGATAGATGGGAATGAGAGCATAGGCATGGGGGCGAAGAGGTAGGGGGAGGTTTAAAAATGTATGTTAAGGTTCAGCAGAAGTTTGTGGTTACAGGGAAAATGGGTGCAGGAGGGAAAAGGAGCGATTGGGGGAATGTGATGTAAAGAAGTAGTAAGGGGAAAAAGTTAACATATGAGAAATTTTTACAAAGTAGAAGTGATGAAGGGGGGAAAAGATATGGAGAAAAAAAGAAAAGTTAAGAGAGGGTGAAGCAAAGTAAAAAAAGAGCAAATGGAGAGTGGGTGAGATGTTTTTCAACAATTTTTTTTGAAAAAAAGAAAAAGTTTTGGGGTGAGATTAACAAGTTAAGAAAGCCCAGAGAACAAATGGATTTGTCAGTTAAAATAGGAGAGGAGAGTTTTTAAATGGAGGTTTTTTGAGGTATTGGGGAAAATGGAAGGAAATTTTTGAGGAATTTTTAAAAGTTGATGAAGATAGGAAGCTGTGATTTTGTGTATAGGGCCCAAAGGGGGAATAAATCTTTTAGGGTGAGGAAGAGCCCGTTGTGAGTGTGGGGAAATTCGTGAGGCAGTAGGTAAAATGAAAGGGGTAAGGGAGCGGGGTTGAGGGATAAAATGAAATGTTAAAAGCAGGTGGGGGTATGTTTTGGGTGGGTTGGTTTCAATTTTTTTTTAATAAATGTATGGAAGAGGGTAAGGACCTAGGGATTGGCAGAAGCATGCATGTTTCCCTTTGTATAAAGGCAAAGGGTAAAAAGGGGGCAAAAATTATAGGGGGGTAAGTCTTTGAGTGTACCCGGTAAGTGTATGGTAGGTTATAATTGAAAGAATTTTAAAAGTAAGACGGAGAATTGGTAGCAGATGAACAAGGACTTTAGGAAAGGTAGGGGGGGTGTGGCCCGGTGTTTTTTCGGAAACATATAAAATGAACAGTATTTGATAAGGCTAAAGAGGTCTTTTTGGATTTATGGATTTGGAAAAGGCGTTTTGACAGGGGGGGGTAGGGGGGCAATGTGGCAGATGTTGCAAGTGAGGTGTAGGAGGTAGGGTTTCTGAAAGCAGTGAAGAGTTTTTTGAGGGGTAGTGAGGCTCAAGTTTGAATGTAGGGAAAAAGGGAAATTTTTTCCCTTAAAAGTGGCCTTAGACAAAGGTGTGTGAGTCCCCGGGGTTTTTTAATAATTTAAGAGGGGGTTTGTAAGAGAAGTAAATGCGAGGGTCTTGGGCAAGAGGGCTGGAGTTAAAAGATAAAGAATCACACACAAAGTGGGAGTTGTCACAGCTGCTCTTTGCTGATGCCCACTGTGTTTCTTGGGAGATTCTGAAGAGAAGTTGCAGAGATTGGTGAATGAATTTGGTAGGTGTGCAAAAGAAGAAAATTAAAGGTGAATACAGGAAAGAGTAAGGTTATGAGATAACACAAAAAATTAGGTATGAAAGATTGAATATCAGATTGGAGGGAGAGAGTATGGAGGAGTGAACGTATTCAGATATTTGGGAGTGGACGTGTCAGCGGATGGGTCTATGAAAGATGAGGTGAATCATAGAATTGATGAGGGAAAAAGAGTGAGTGGTGCACTTAGGAGTCTGTGGAGACAAAGAAACTTGTCCTTGGAGGCAAAGAGGGGAATGTATGAGAGTATAGTTTTAATACCAACGCTCTTATATGGGTGTGAAGCGTGGGTGATGATGTTGCAGCGAGGAGAAGGCTGGAGGCAGTGGAGATGTCATGTCTGAGGGCAATGTGTGGTGTGAATATAATCAGAGAATTCGTAGTTTGGAAGTTAGGAGGAGGTGCGGATTACCAAAACATGTTGTCCAGAGGGCTGAGGAAGGGTTGTTGAGGTGGTTCGGACATGTAGAGAGAATGGAGCGAAACAGAATGACTTCAAGAGTGTATCAGTCTGTAGTGGAAGGAAGGCGGGGTAGGGGTCGGCCTAGGAAGGGTTGGAGGGAGGGGGTAAAAGGGGGTTTTGTGTGCGAGGGGCTTGGACTTCCAGCAGGCATGCGTGAGCGTGTTTGATAGGAGTGAATGGAGACAAATGGTTTTTAATACTGACGTGCTGTTGGAGTGTGAGCAAAGTAACATTTATGAAGGGATTCAGGGAAACCGGCAGGCCGGACTTGAGTCCTGGAGATGGGAAGTACAGTGCCTGCACTCTGAAGGAGGGGTGTTAATGTTGCAGTTTAAAAACTGTAGTGTAAAGCACCCTTCTGGCAAGACAGTGATGGAGTGAATGATGGTGAAAGTTTTTCTTTTTCGGGCCACCCTGCCTTGGTGGGAATCGGCCGGTGTGATAATAAAAATAAAAAATTTTTTGTGGAAAATACTATATATTTTCCTGAAGTACAGTATATGTAAATTGATGGCCTATATTGTATTTAATAAAAATTATGTTATGAAAATGGGAAACTCTGCGCCTGTGCAGAAAGGACACTCGCCATTGTTGTTTGAATTGGACAAGAAACGTTAGCGAATAATCGGAGGAATTTTCGTCGCTCTAGAGGTTAAATTGGGCTGACACCTCTCAAACAGGAGCCGAAATTGTTGGATTTGCATTCCTGCATAACTTGAGATATCAGACGACTGGACAAGACAGCTCCAGGAACCTCAGATAAGCTATCTAAATTTGTGTTATAATTCTGGCCAGCATTAGCTTCATAAATTTTGTTAGAATGAGGCTTTTGAGTATGATACACTTTAATCTCCAGTCAAATTTGGTGAGTGATATTAAGATATATTCTTCTTCTGTTATGTAAATGTGTGTATATATAATCATTTATTAATTTTAATATACAGTCCACAAACTTATATATTTACCAGAATTCCTGGTGATGCATATTTCATTTGTAATTAATAGGTCTAGAGCAACTTGTGGATATGACAGTTGTAGGTATCGAAGGGGGACATTTTTGCGACCTAGGTGTCCCAACTTCCTACTTGTCTATGTAACTTTGATAAATAATAATTATCTTTGTTATCATTTACTGGTATGTACATTATGAGTTACATCCAAATAAATGCAGTTTTCCACATTTTTGTTAGAGTAAAAACTGAAGACTGTTGTGAAGAAAAGGATGTTTGAGAGATTGTTAGGTAAGACACATATGCAACAGTTAGGTATCTTTATTTCGAAACGTTTCGCCTACACAGTAGGCTTCTTCAGTCGAGTACAGAAAAGTTGATAGAAGCACAAGAGACGTGAAGACGATGTAATCAGTCCATCACCCTTGAAGTTTTGAGATGGTCAGTCCCTCAGTCTGGAGAAGCGGTGTATAAGGCTCCATCCTGTCATTTCAACTGTTTCTCAAGACTGAGGGACTGACCACCTCAAAACTTCAACGGTGATGGTCTGATTACATCGTCCTAGCGTCTCTTCTGCTTCTATCAACTTTTCTGTACTCGACTGAAGAAGCCTACTGTGTAGGCGAAACGTTTCGAAATGAAGATACCGAACTGTTGCATATGTGTCTTACCTAACAACCTGTCGGTATTTTATACCATTTTAATATTCACGATGTTTGAGAGAGATGCATGTTACTGCCGTTCTAGAAACAACAGCCCAACTAATCAGGAACAGAATGGAAAATGTAATTGTTTCTTGATGATAGTATGGAATTTAATTTCAATTTCCATTACAGTACATGAAAAGTGTTGAAGACACCTTCAACTTCCATAAACACACTGTAATACCAGACGCTCACCTTTGTACTAGGATTATATCTATTCATCTTCGCTCATGAGAACTACTCTCTGTGTACACAAATAACCCGCACATAAAAGAGAGAAGCTTACGACGACGTTTCGGTCCGACTTGGACCATTTACAAAGTCACGGTATTGTGCCTTTTTTTGTTATTTACTTTCAGTTTGTACATTTGCAACTAGTTCTCCCAGTATTTTCCAGGTGTAAATGATGGTGTATCAATTTCGGCTGCGTTCCAATTAGCGTAACTTGTGTTATTTTAAGCGTTTTCACTAGATATTGGCAATGTTTTTTTTTTTATACATTCTTCAAGACCTCAATATCACCAATCTTACGAGTAGTGGTTAATTAAACTCATGTGGGTCATTCAGCGCAAGACGTGGTGGAGGTTCGATCCTCCGTCTCCTAAGAGCGAGACAGACACACTTCCTATGTGTTCATCTAGATTCTCCTGTCAAGACTAGAGAATGTACGCACTTTAACAAATATTAATACTAGCTTGGTATCTCCTGCTCGTTACCTTCTTATTATAAAGCCGATCATTTTACTTGATTATATTAACCTTATTGCGTTTTATTAAAAGGTAAAAATCTTTTGACATGGTTATTATTATTTATATATTCATGGGGAAGCGTCAGACTCGTAGAGGTCACACACCTAGAAAACAGAAGGCAATCAAGTTTGATGGAGGAGTAGAGGATAGCTGCATTACCCTGGATAAAGATACCTTCACCTTCATGGTGGCACCAACCTAGAGGGGCTGATGTGGTTATATCAGTAGATGTAAACAGCACCTGAGACGCAGTCAGGTTTGTTCCAAGGAATGGAAAAGTAGCTTCAGTTTTTCTGGTCAAGATCCCCTCAGAATCAACATTAAGGCAGCTCATCAGATCAGTTTCATACAGAAGGTATACACGTAAGATTTATTAGTCCTGTGTACAAAATTTTAGAATATTTTTTTATCAACTTAAAGATATTTCATAAAAAAAATATATGATTTGTTTACTCTTTTCCTTTCAGAACTTGACTAATATTTATGGACCGTGTTTTGGTATTCTCTTCTCGTCGTTTTTGCTGGAGCTGAAGGCATCGTCGGCAACAATCACTTGGATATTTAATATACAATCTTTCATGTTTAGCTTCTCATCTGTGTTTCTGATGCCACTGGTAAAGCGCTTCGGGTGGAGGTGTGTGACTTTCATTGGTGGTGTGTTCACTGCTGTTGGTCTGGCTATGTCTGCCTTCGCTACCTCACACTGGTTCCTCTTGTGTTCATATTCTCTACTGGGAGGTGAGTGCTTCACGTACGTCACACTGAAGATTTTTAATTTGGAAAACGTATTGTATATACATAGTCAAAATTCCAGTAATATATGAACATGTAATTGATCTTAAAACTTCCCTTATGCTAATGAGAGGCATTTAACATGAGTGTCTATCATGACTCACGTAATCGTAATAACACGATTGCAAGCAAGCCATACCACGGGCGGGGCTAGAACCCGCGGTCAGAGAGTCATTCAACTCTAGACCGACGTGTTGAATTCAGAGACAACTCACTCAGAAATGTCCAAAATATGTCAAAGTATTTTATCCACAGGGGTATATTACAGACCATTCTGGAAAAATACCCTGACTTTGCTCACTGTAAATAAAGCATTACCACGTGTGTGTTTGTGCATGTGTGTGTGTGTGTACTCACCTAGTTGAGGTTGCAGGGGTCGAGTCCAAGTGTGTGTGTGTGTGTGTGTGTGTGTGTGTGTGTGTGTGTGTGTGTGTGTGTGTGTGTGTGTGTGTGTGTGTGTGTGTGTGTGTATGTGTGTGTGTGTACTCACCTAGTTGAGGTTGCAGGGATCGAGTCCAAGTGTGTGTGTGTGTGTGTGTGTGTGTGTGTGTGTGTGTGTGTGTGTGTGTGTGTGTGTGTGTGTGTGTGTGTGTGTGTGTGTGTGTTGTGTTGTGTGTGTGTGTGTGTTTTTGGTATGTATGTGCTTGTATGTGTGTTTGCATGTATATTTGTGTACTCATATGTGAGTGCTTGTGCTCTTGTGTGTATGTATACTTGTGTGTGTGTGTACTCACCTATTTGTGTGTGTGTGTGTCCCAACAATTAATATTTGCACCAATAACTCATTACAGTTGTGACCGGGTGTGGACGTGTGAATTGCTCATTACTCTATAATTTGTTTATGAATGTAGCCATGTACAAACGTATGCAAGAAAATTTACTTACATGATTCATTACAAAACTTGTGAGTTCATTACCTTTGTACATTGTTTAGCTATCAAAACTTTGGGGCCCAGTCCCTGGACCCATTATATACCTCTGTAATCTGTAAATACCTTTGACAACTCGTCATGATTGTGACCAGATCTACCTGGAGTTCATTACCTTTTTAACTTGCACTGCTATCATAACTTTGGAGTCCAGTCCATGAACCCATTATGTACCTCTTTAATCTTTTGAATACTGCCCACAGGATGGGTATGGGGTGCATAATAAACATATTAAACTAACTATGCGTTAGGGTCAATCTGAAGCTGTGTGGCCCTTACTGATTTAAAGTTTTTCATCAGTGTTAATAATTAATAATAATAATAATAATAATTAATAATAACAATAATAATAATAACAATAATAATAATAAATATTCTTAATATTCTTGTGACTTTAGGTATTGGTTGTGGCGTGTCAACTGTGGTGCCTGTCTTGGTTTTAACACGTTATTTCAAACGGCGTCTTGGACGGGCCAACGCGTTCATGGTTGGGGGAGTTTGCACGGGCCAGATGCTTGGACCGCCCTTGGTGACGTACCTGCAGGAGGAGTATGGGTTCAAGGGCGCCACCCTCATCGTTGCCGCTCTCATGCTGAACACGAGTGTAGCCTCCGTCGTGTTCCACCCTGTAGAGTGGCACACCAAGAGCCCTAGTTTTGTTACGAGGGGCTTGGACTTCAACCCGGAAAATTGGTGGGTGTTTGAAAGAGATGAATGGAAGAAAAATTTGTTTTTAAAATTGGGGCTGTTGGATCTCGGTAGAAAAGAACTTTTGGGGGATTCCAAAACCGGGGCCGTTGGTTTTGGGGGTGGGGGTTCTCGCAGGAGGAAAGGGGTGTTTGTTGCGGGTTTAAAACGGGGAGGTTGCACCCCCCCTGGCAAGGCGGTTGTTTGGGTGTTATGGCCGGTTTTCTTTTTCGGGCCACCCGCCTGGTGGGAAATCGGCCCGGAGGTTGGTGTATAAAAAAAAAAAATATAGAGATACTAAAAGTAAAGCTAAAAATATTTGTTGCAGAACAAATACTTAGGAAAGCAAGACTTTAGTGTACATGAGAGCACACAGGAAAGACAGATGACAATCTGTATTAGTAGTGCTGAAGGCGGCTGAGTGGCTCCTGCGGCTGAGTGGCTCTTCCTGAACGGTCCATTCCTGAGCGGTCCCTCCTGAAAGGGCTGCGGCTGAGCGGCTCCCTTTCCTGAGCAGACTCCTTTTCACACCTTTATGCTAATGACCTTGACCTCGCCCTCGAGACCACCTCACCCTCGACCACCTCGCCCTCGAGACCACCTCACCCTCGACCACCTCACCCTCGACCAATTTGCCCCCCCCCCCACCCACGCCCCCCCACCTGCGCCCCCACCCGCCCCACCCTTGTGCCAACCCACCCACCCATCTGCACCCTTGCGCCCGCCCGCGCCCCCTCACGCCGCCCATCGCGCCTTTGCAGCCCTTCTGCAGCGTCGTCCGGATCGCCCCCCCCCGAATTTTTTTCCGATTTTTTTCAAATTTTTTTTGAATTTCATTTTACTGTGCTCTCCATCTCCTCGGATCAAATTTTTGAGGTTCCCCCTCCCACTTTCACCCCTATCCCAATTTTTTTCGATTTTTTTTTGAATTTCATTTTCTTATGATCTCCTCGGATCAATTTTTTTGGATTCCCCCCTCTGGGGGTAAGCATTCAAAATGGACTCCCACTTTCATCCCAAAATATTCCTCCTCCATCTCCTTGGATCAAGGTTTTCTCGATAATACAAAGACTCCATCTCCTTGGATCAAATTTTTCTCGAAATCAATAATACCAAGTCTCCATCTCCTTGGATCAAGTTTTTCTCGATAATACAAAGACTCCATCTCCTTGGATCAAGTTTTTCTCGATATCAACAATACCAAGACTCCATCTCCTTGGATCAAGTTTTTGGATTCTCCCCTCTGGGGGTAAGCATTCAAATGAACTCCTCCTATGGGGCATGGTACTTTCTCTTACTACAGGTCTAAACAAGTGTGATGTCACCCCACCTGTGTTTACTTGGCGGTCAGTGACGTCACGTGATGACCTCACACATACAGGCTGAATCTTGTCGACTTCCCCCTATGTCAGTGACGTCACGTGATGACCCCCTCCCCCCACACAGGCTGAATCTTGTCGACTTGCCCCTACACATTTTTCACTCTTAACCCAGGATAACCCAAATAATTTCACATTTTTTTCGTTAATACCCACAACAATTCACAATTATTCTCTCATCTCACTACAGAACAACCCCAAGATTACTTCGAACACTCTTAAATCATTTGAATACTCACATAAACACCTTTGAACATTTCCAAACAACACTGAAGCACTTCCAAAATATCATTTTGATTACTCTCAAATAAGATTTATCATCTCTAATTTATCTACACTTACACATTTCGTTAACTGAAATTACAACACATCCACCATACTACTCCCTCAGTCTCCAGACTTTACAACATTATCACAAAAACTAACTCAGACACTTATGACATGAGACATTTTACCAAAACTAACACAAACACATATCTGTTATATCTCCAATATCTAAGATCACCACAATCAAGATGTTTACCAAATTCTATAACCCCACCACTAAGATCACACATTTTTTGTACACATTCTCTTAAAACATCATCATAACGAAGATCACTAAAACTATCTATACTTTTACTAAGATCACATTACATTTTTTCTTCTTTAACTCACCCACCAATTTACATTCTCATTCACACTTACACATTTCATTAACCGAAATTACATCTCATCCACCAAACTCCTCCCTCATTCTCCAGACTTTACAACATTAGCACAAAAAAAACTAACTCATACACTTATGACATGAGACATTACCATAACTAACACATTGACTAACTTTGAACCAACTCTAAACATCACCAAAACACCACTGATCATCTTCAAAAAATACTCTGCACATCATTTGAACACCTTCCAAAACACCATCAAACACCTCCGAATACTCCCAAAACACTACTGATTACTACCAAATCACCACTGAATACTACCAAACACCGTCAAAATCACCAGAAACTAAGTTTAACATCACCATCTAACACCCTTTTTATAGAAATCCCCTCAAATCACTATAACCAAGAACTCCCTCCCCATGGGCGCATAAAAAAAAAGCATGAACACAAACCTAATACACAAACACCTAGTACATGATCACCATCAACTGAAAACATACCTTGTACACACATAAATCTAAGACAACCACCATCAACAAACGCTCATATTCACTTACCTCAAAAAGCACTATTACCACAGAAAACACTCATTTCTTATAAACATTCACACACAAAAAAATCATATTTGACAATATCTAAGCGCACTCACCTCACTACCACCAACACACGATGTCACACCCACAGGACCGGCGAGGTCACCTCCAGTGACGTCACACTCCTATCTGTGTTTACTTGGTGGTCACATCACACCCAACCCACCTTGTTTCAACCTGTTGTACCCACAATATCTAAGAACACTATAACCAAGACGATTACCAGATTTTATGACCCCACCACTAAGATCACAGAAATCACTCATTTTTTTTAAAACATTCACACAAAAATCACGATCATCAATTCCATATCATGTTTACCATCATCTATCAACACTCTTCACCAAGATCACCAAAAATCTAAGATAATCTAATCTCGGTGACTTCCGTGGGCTCAGTTGGTGCAAGATAGAAGGAATCAGGGAAATTCACATCTAGGTAGTCCCCGGCATGGGCATTGGTATGTGGGATTTTACTGGCGAGATTAGATCCTATTGTTGAGAAGAAGTCGTTTGTGTTGATCTTAGTTTATGGTGATTTTGGTGGTGTTTTGACTGTATTCAGTGGTGTATCAGTAGTATTCAGTGGTGTATTTGGGAGTACTCAAAATGATATTTTGGAAGTGTTTCAGTGTTGTTTGGAAATGTTCAAAGGTATTTTTGTGAGTATTCAAATGATTTATGAGAGTGTTTTGAAGGTGTTCAAAGTAAAGTGAGGTGTGTGTGCGCATTAACTTCGTAATATGTAAAATTGTGACTAGTGAATTAATCGAAAAGTGGTTATAAGTTGTAAGTGTTGTGGTGACTTTTTCTGATGAAATAGTTAAAACGAGAAAAATGTCTAGACTTGTGTTGTATTTTGTAAAGAAATTGTGGATTGTTGTGGGTATTAACGAAAAAAATGTGAAATTATTTGGGTTATCCTGGGTTAAGAGTGAAAAATGTGTAGGGGGAAGTCGACAAGATTCAGCCTGTGTGTGGGGGGGTCATCACGTGACGTCACTGACATAGGGGAAGTCGACAAGATTCAGCCTGTATGTGTGAGGTCATCATGTGACGTCACTGACCGCCGAGTAAACACAGGTGGGGTGACGTCACACTTGTTTAGACCTGTAGTAAGAGAAAGTACCATGCCCCATAGGAGGAGTTCATTTGAATGCTTACCCCCAGAGGGGAGAATCCAAAAACTTGATCCAAGGAGATGGAGTCTTGGTATTGTTGATATCGAGAAAAACTTGATCCAAGGAGATGGAGTCTTTGTATTATCGAGAAAAACTTGATCCAAGGAGATGGAGACTTGGTATTATTGATTTCGAGAAAAATTTGATCCGAGGAATTGGAGCAGGGAATTTGAGATGCAAGTGGGAGTTCATTTGAATGCTTACCCACAGAGGGGGGGAACCCAAAAAACCTTGATCCGAGGAGATGGGGATCATAAGAAATTAAAAAAAAAATTCAAAAAGAATTTGGGATGGGGGTGAAAGTGGGAAGGAGACCCTCAAAAAAGTTGGTATCGAGAAAAACTTGCTCCAAGGAGATGGAGACTTGGTATTATTGATTTTGAGAAAAATTTGATCCAAGGAGATGGAGTCTTTGTATTATCGAGAAAACCTTGATCCAAGGAGATGGTGGAGGAGGAATATTTTGGGGTGAAAGTGGGAGTCCATTTTGAATGCTTACCCCCAGAGGGGGTAATCCAAAAAACTTGATCCGAGGAGATCATAAGAAAATGAAATTAGAAAAAAAATCGAAAAAAATTGGGATAGGGGTGAAAGTGGGAGGGGGAACCTCAAAAATTTGATCCGAGGAGATGGAGAGCACAAGAAAATGAAATTTAAAAAAAATTTGAAAAAAATCGGAAAAAAATTCGGGGGGCGGGGGCGATCCGGACGACGCTGCAGAAGGAGCTGCAGAAGGCGCAGGCGGGCACGATGGGCAGGTGCGAGGGGGCGTGGGTGGGCGCGAGGGCACGGTGGGCAGGTGGGTCGGCGCAAGGGTGGGGCGGGTGGGGGCGTGGGTGGGGGGAGCGTGGGGGGGGGTTGAGGGCGAGGTGGTAGAGGGTGAGGTGGTCTCGAGGGCGAGGTAAAGGTCATT